TGTTTGTGTATTCGATATTTCGTCATATCGAACATTGAACGAAACATTTAAAGAGATAGACGGGATACGACAAATCTCGTTTTGCGATGATCGCGCGCATTCAACGGAACGTTCTTCAATTCCTTATGAATGAGAATAACGGCGAGCTGTGACGCATTCGTCAGCGGTTATTGTCGAGTGACAGTGAAATTGCATGGAATGTAAATGACACGAAAAAAGAAAAGAGTAGGTGGAATAGGTTGTTTTTTTTTTTTTTTTTTTTTACGTGATCTATATTTAGATCTAATATAAACTCGAACCCTCGTCTTAATTAAAGAGACGCGTGTTATATATAGCGACGACAGACGACTGTGTCATTTCTCCCTCACACTTTTTGCTCCTTTTCGCTTTTCAACGAAAAAAACAAAACCCCGTGATATGGAAACGTTAAGAGTAACGTCGGTTACTTCAAGTGTGTAAAAATCGTTGAACACGCGACAGACATCGTTGCAATAAAAATTGCGCACGATCAGAAATTCAATTTTACAACTCGGATCGTTTTCCGATGTGTCTGCAATCGTCGCGCAATGTTTCGAACAACTTTGGACATTGGCGTTCAAATGGCGCTTAGATCCTACCAGAAAAAACGTGTGTGTAAATAATCACAATTGAATTCTATCGATCTTGATTGTTGCCGCTTTTATTTCGACGCTGAGTGGACGTTTTTCGGATGTGTGTTTCTCGATTCATGTCCTACGAATCAAGAGGCACGGTACTGCCTCGCACCGTTCGAGCGCGACTTCGTTGCGCGTGTCTTTAAAAACGTAACTAAAATAAAGTTACGTGACAGTGAGGAGAGGAAAAACACCACGTGACTACAGTCACGTGACTTTACTTTAGTCACGTGTCTTTAAAAACTTGACTAAAATAGAGTCACATGACGTTTACACGTACTGGTAAAATCGTTTTAATAAAAACCGTTTTAGTACAAAACCGGACTTAGATGTCCGTTTACAGGACACCTAAGTCTAGTTTTTACTAAAACGGTTTTAATAACATCAGTACAAGGAACGTTTACAGAACATCTAAGTCCGGTTTTGTACTAAAGACATCTAAAATGGTTTTTATTAAAACGGTTTTACCAGTACGTGTAAACGTAGTCAGTGGAGAAGAGGAAAAACAACACGTGATTAAAGTCACGTGACTTTATTTTAGTCACGTTTTTAATGACACGTGACCAAAATACACTCACGTGTTGTTTTTCCACTCCTTTCTCTTACTATTTTTTGATTTTGATTTTCATGCGTTATTTTTGACCTCTCTCTAATGTGCATTATATGGTTTGTAAGACGTACATATGTACTAGCTGTCATCGCAGTGACAGGTTGTGTTCACTGACACTACACGTTAAAATAAAAACAATAATAGCGTGCATGTATTGTGCTAGTACGAACAAAATGTGTGTGGACTTTTAATACTTTTATGTTATATTTATATTTTTCTTTCTCAATCGCGATAACTTGTCAAATTGTCATGTATCGTGTTTCGCAAGAATTTCACATTGAGAAATCCGATAAATATGTCATAAGGTCTTGTTTTACAAAAAAAAAAAAAACCAAAAAATTTTGATATAGCTTCAGAATTCTTTTGATTATGATTGATCAGAAATTCTCAGGAATAATAAATGTCATCATTTATTGATGTTACAGCTAGATGTTATACAGAAGACCTTTTTGGTCTTTTTTATATTACTCTCGGGCGGATTGTAGAGTGTGTAAGAAAAGACCCCTTCCCTCTCCCACAATTTTAAACTCCGAACCACCAAAAGTGTACGTAAACACTTCAAATTTAGGAAACCTCGTGACAAAGATACTCGGTGAGCTATTTAAGCTTATCGGAGAGACAGCGACCTTTAAAAATCCGAACACATTTTTGTTCGGATTCAAACTTGGGATCTTTGGTTACTTGTCCCGTACAAACCAACTGAGCTAATAGGTCGCTCCTAGAAAATACAAGAGAAATACAAGAGGCCCAAAAAGGTCTTCTCTTAGCTATATATATTCTCTTAGCTAACATCAATAAATGATGACTTTTTCTGGATTTTTCCTTCTGATAAAAAAAAATTATTATTTTTCGCGCTTTTCCGCGAGTTGACGCGTTCGAACTTTTGTCGTAAACAAACACTTCATTAGTTACGGCGCTTTTTCTAGTACGCCGTCTAACATACAAGAAGTGAACTACGGATATTTTTGTGTTATTTTCTTTGGTTATAATTATGTTTGTTCATACATAGGCGCGCGCGTGTGGGTGTGTGTATGTATGTCAACTTTGATCATTTACATTTCCGTGTTACTCATCGGTCACTGTCCGCAAAAGAAAAGAAAAGAATATTATCACGCGTTTTTTTTTTTTACACACATTCGCTTCTTGGGACAACCGGGTGCACCAAACATTTTCTGGAAGTTAGTTTCAAGTGAGTTTCAATTATAACAGAACGCAAATAGCAGTCGAGTAAATAACTTCAACTTCAATAGTCAATTTTTGAACCTGCGGAAAGAGAACGTACGAATGAAAAAAAAAAAAAAAAAAAAAAAAAAAAAAAAAATCAAACAAGGCATCGAAGAATTTAATTCAAATTCCGCGAGCGCAATCGGAACGATGTCCGCGAGACAGACTGATTTATCGTCGGCGCGCAAGGGAAACTTTTCGCATTGCTAAATGAGATGCCCGTTCTGATCATACCGGCGAGATGCTTCGCGTCGTAATAAACGTGCGGCCTCGACCGTGGGAGCCAAACGGCGTAATGTCAGGCGAAGAAGAGTACGGCGGAGTATGCTGGATGTTGAGACGAGAAGAGGGAAGGAGAGGACATCGACTTGAGGCACGCGTCGTCGTATGCGCCTCATAAAACCCAGACGCGCCTAAATGCTACCCCCCTTTTTACCACCACGTCCCATCTGGACCACCCTCGCGCGACCCTCTGCGGTAAACGCATCTCGCACAGACCCGTAGAGACCCCTCACGACGTTTTCGCTACTCGCTGGTCGTGTGTGATTCAACCTCGACTTTTTTCTCTCTCTCTTTCTCTCTACGCGCTTCGTTCTCTCGCGCATTCTTTTGTACGAGCAACGAAGATCGCGCAGAGTCGATATATACAAGCAGGTTGCTTGTAAGAGACGAAGGAATTTTTCTCGCCCCCTACAACGCCATATGGCACCAACGGTTCTTCACCGCGTGCGTGGATATCTTGATGATCGTTAGATCGTTCGCTCGTGTCGCAAATGAAAAAGACACTCGTGCGCGCAAAATATACGACCGTGTGTGTCCCTTGATGTATTTACTCGTGCGATGACAGTTTGGCGGAGTTAATTTTATATGGATAAACCGACTAAATCCTATTCGCATTTTAGGATTTTGTTAGATCCAGCAATGTCGTCCATAGCGATAATTAAATTTAACTTCACGAGTAAGCTTTTTTGCGATAAAAAAAAAAAGTTGATATTTCTAGCGATAATTCTTAGTGATACCGTGAAATGTTACTCTTTTAATTAATACAGTAGAAAAGTATTCCCAGCTTATATATATATATGTATATATATATATATAAACGTTATTCTCATTTCACAAAAGAATGCGGAGATTTAATTAGCATGAGAAACCAGAAAGTTTTAACAATCGCGCCCAGAATTTGCCGTTTTCACGTGTACATGACATTTTACATTTGTTCGCAATTAACTTTGCACGGTTACGAGAGAGCGCGGGAAAGAAAACTGTTCTTTGCCTATAGTGTCTCTTTCTCTCTCTCTCTCTTTCTCTCTCGGATTTTTCCTCGTATCGCGCTCGTAAAAATTCAGACACCATCAATCTTGTGACGCTCAGCTATTTCCATAAGAGAACGGTTTTACACAGCATAATAAGTCGCATTTTCAATAGAAGTCACTCTTGTTCCATACAAATATATGATATATATATTTTTGATTGACAAATTATGCTTCTATAATAATTAATTTTTTTTTTTAATCGATCTGAAACTCTGGGAAACAAAGAGCGATTTTTCGTTGAGAGAGGCATCTCAGGCCTTTCTATGCACCAAGGCCGCTAAATTCAATAACCGCGAAAGAGGTCACGTGTTTTCTATATTAATTCCGAAGAACTCGAAGAAGATGCAATCGCTCGCCGATGCGCCGATCGGCGCGCGTTTTAGATTTGAAAGCTCGTGTTCGTCGCCCTGCTTCAAACTAACGCAAAGCAACTCTCTCTAAATCATCTCTTGGATAACGTCCAACGATATTAATGTACAAATCTCGCATGGCTGCGACTAGGGAGAGAGAACACTCTCGTTTTTCCTACTTTGGAAATGACATGCGAGCGCGCGTTAATGTCAAAAGAGTTTATTCGAACTTCGTTTGCGTCAGTGAAACCGAGTATCGCTGTCGACGGTAATGTCCTCAAATGTGTTAATCAAACTCTAAAAAGAGAATTTTCATTTCACTGAAATTAAGAAAACATTTGACAACTTTAGTCATTAATGCTGTCATTTATTCAAGAATGTCATATGATAACGCATGCGAATTTACTTATCGACGTGTACAACGACTGTAATAAGAGCAATCGCAAAAGTCATCGTCTCAATAAATGTCACGAACTTTAAATTATTTGATAATCAGCTTGTGTTGGTGAACTGCGCTGGTTTAAGAAAATATTGCTCGCGAGGGTACCTATTGACGATCACGTGACCGTGAACCGACATTCTGGCGAGCACAGAATGAGCGAACGGTACTCGAGTCATCGTGACGCAATAGAAACGCACGCGTGTCGTCGTTGTTGAACGGACCGCGAGGTGAATTTGTGAGAAAAAAAAAAAGACAGCGAGCCCGTCATCCACGCGTATCTGTCGAAAAAAATACGTGATGGTTCGAACTATTTTTGGACTTAGCCGGCCGAGATCGTCGTGTCGGTCGTGCGAAGGGATAGTTACGCTAGAGCGTATTTTTTTCACGTTACGATCATATAGAACTTACACATGTGCTCCCCTAACGGCCATATTTCTGGCCCAGATTTGACTTCAATCAAAACTGTCGGCGTACAAATCAGCAACACAGCCAGATCGGCAATACTGAGGTTCACGAGAAAAATGTTGGTGCTGTTCCTCATGTCCTTGCTCCGTAGAACGACCAAGGGCACCTATAAAAATTAGAGTTACACATTCAAAGATAGTTACTATTTGCTACAATTGTTAATAAAAATAAAAGAAGCGCGTTTATGATGATATCGTATCGATCTTGAACAATCTCGTCTGAGCGCTGATAAAAAAATGAACTAAAGATTGAAATTACCATAAGATTTCCGATTATTCCCAACACCATCACGGTGATGCACACAACCATCGATGTTGTTCGAATGTACGCAGGCAACATGTACAGCGCGTAAGTGGTGTTCTCCGGTTCGATTACTGCAACCAAACGAGAAGAAAGATTACGAGAGAAAAATTGTCAAACAAAATATTTCGCGCGAGTACACGATCGAGAAGGGTCTCGGGATTACCTGAAAATCCATTGAGCGCACTGTTGCCGACCGCTGTCGTGTAATAGGACGAGTTCAATTCAAACGCGACGGTAGACATCGTCGTCAACATATTTCTCGAGCGCGAGAAAGAGAAGCAGAATGCACCTTTCTTCGTTTACTCGTACGCCGACTCTTTTTTTCGATTTGGTTTTTTTTTTTCGACAAGCTACTCCTGCATTCCCTCGCGATCGCGCATCTCTCGCTCACTCGGGAGATGCGGGGGTGGTGTGTGGTAGTTTACGGTATTTCCCCACTCGGGTTCAAATTACGTATTTACAGGTTGTACACGCGAGCGATCGCAAAACACGTTAAATCTCCCTCTCGCGTTTTCGGATAAAAGAATTTCAATGTTTACGTCGGCAACTTTTTCGGTCGCGTCGCAACGAATTTCGGAACCTCGTGCGGCTCGGCAACGAGTTCTGCCGAGTGTCGGAAAATTGCCGCTCGAAAAAATCCATGAGAAATCGCAGACCACGTTGTGTCCGGCAACGTGAATCCCGCGATTGACCGTTTCGCGAGTGTCAAGGTAAGAGATCTCACTACTCTCGCCGAGTCGGAAATGTTGTATACAAGCGACATCATCAAGTTCGCCGTCGAGATACGTTCACTATTAATTAACGTGACGCGACACATCGAAAAGAGCTTTTGAATATAGATGGATCGCGAGTAAATTGCTCGCTCCGCGAAATGTTCTGATTGGCTTCTTCACTTAAAACGAAGCTCCGTTTAACGTTCGCGATCGAATGGGGCTCAGACGATAAAAGTGTCTGACAATTCGGCGAAAAGCCCCCGAATGAAATGTTTATCTTTTGTCATATAAAGATAGACTAGAAGAGAATTCGCCGTCACGGAAACTATATTACGTTTTAGCGTGATTAAAATAATTAACTTTCTTGCACCTTCGACGTATCTTCGCGGCTCTCCGTTTTAAACAGAAAAACTGCGCCATTTGTGCGTCAGTTTTTTTTTAATCAACTGCGCGTATCTTTCTATTATTTGTTTTTTTAATAATATATGTTAAGTAAAAATTTTCTCACTAAAGAAAAACACGACAACTCTATTTAGTACATCTGACATTTTGTCTCACGTCTTTTATGCGACGAACTCGCTCCGCCAAATACGGATTCGTTAATATCGAAATGATCGAGTTCAAAGGTACACGGAGAATTATAAGGTACAGTTTATAACAGTCAAGTTCGAAAATCGTTTCCTGATAAATTATTGGCTAGTTAGTCTGTGTCACGGATGGTTTAACATAATTGGCCAAGTTTCCTCGATCACACACATACTCTCGCTCCCGCGGGCGCTACGCGCTAAACTTTGCGATCGGACCGATTGAGCTTCTATAAAGAGCTACCGGCGATTCTCGGTCGCCCTCGCGCACTGCCTCGTTAATACATTTTCGATTATGTTTTTTAACAGGTGGTTTAAAATCGCTCGTTTTTTGGCGTAATCAAATTGCGTGTCGGCTTTGCGCGAGTCGATGCAATTTTACGCGACGCATCAATGTTGAAATGTGCACTTTTTTTAAACTCGCGTGCGTAATTTTAAACAACACTGTGTCGAACAAACGCGCGACACTTCTCCTCGAAACACGGTCATTGGTCGTCGGTTCCAGGCGTCGAACTTTGTCTTCACAGGTGGTTTGGAACGTGTTTCTTCGATCGCGCGCAACTTTGTGACTTCTGTAATTGGCAACGCGCGACGAATAATCGGAATTTTGACCGGTGACAAGCGAGATGCATCCGCTTCCTGTGGAAGCACCTTTCGGCGGCGACCAAAACACACACGTTCAAAAGGAACTCGTACCGTGGCGCGCAAATAGTGCCGGTAAACTGAATGGAACACGGAACTCAATCTGCCACAAACTCTCGAAGGCGCACCTCCCTTTCGTCCGGGAGCATGCGCGCTATTTTCCTCATTACAGTATTTTTTTCGTCGCGATATCACACATACACACACTTGTGAATTTCTTTTTAATTAAGAAATTAATTTTATTCTCTTTTTTCAATCATCGGATAAATACAATTAGAGAGATTTACTCATTTGAATTTTATTTATATGTAAGTAATGTTTAGGTGTAATTTGTGTTTTTCCGCGTAACTACGGTAGGAACGTTGCGACAAGTTAAACAAAACATTACAACACGTTTTTTTCATTAATAATTTTTCAGTGTAATTAAAAGTAGCAATAACGTTTATATTTAACCATAAAGTTTATATGTAACATATCCACCGCGCGTTTTTCTAAATAAACATATTATTCTAAATAACAATAACACAAACGTTAAACTCTCTTCGGCGTAATTTTTAATAGTTTTTTTTATTTGTTTTCTACATTATACTATTTACAATACGAATTAATAATAATTGAAAAGAAAAATGAAAAAGAAGCAGCGAAAAACACGCGGCTGTTTTTCTCTCTGTCAGTCGTTTCCACTCGTATCACAATCGACTACCTATTTCCGAACATTCATGTGTTTTTTCGCTTGAATGGTGAAGCAAGAACGCACGTGTTATTAAAGCCGATTTACCGCTTCATATTTATTTATGCAATAAATTGTCGCGTGGGTGCACTTTTCTCTTCATTTTCAAGTCTTTAAATATTTTCTGACGGATGATGCGCGAAAAATTATTATGATAATACGACGTAATGATGCGATGCAAGCGCAATATAATTCTCTATTAAGCTTTTAACGCGTATACACGAATTATGTGATGGAATATTACGCTGTTTTTTAATAAAAAATTCATTTACTAAATCGCTCAAATATTTTTTCATTAAATTGAAAAAAAAAACAAAAATGTAACCGTAATGTAACTAAATACAATAGAGAAAAAAATTTTCTTTTCAATTCGAAGATATCACAAGAGAATCTAACGTCTCTTCTCGTCGCTTTGATACTTAATATCACCTCAATATGAAACACATGTAATGTGTATCCTTTTGATCTTTTAACATCACTAATAAAACCTGCATTTATAGTCACGCTTATCCGACGAACAATTTTAACTAAAGGAATTTTCAGCTTCGAGAGGAACTAGCTTTGAAACAAGATATAGTTTAATGCATAGAATTTAAAATCCCGCGTGTGTATTGTAATATTATAGATACATGTAAACGCGATTCAGACGAAGAACACGCTTGTGCAAAGCATGCTCTACGAACATAATCGCGCTATTTAATAGCCAATTTCCGAAAGAAGATCACAGTAATCATGTCATTTCTTACGCAAGAGAAACATATATGAATAATGAAATCAAAGAAGGTTTTTTTTTTTAGTTTTTTTTGAAATTATATCATAAATGTGCTGGAACTATTTTAAGAAGTTATTAAAAAGTATCTGGTGTGCAAAAATACTTTAGAAAAAAATTAAAATATATAAATTTAAAAATATTTAAAATATCTAAAATATTAAATTTTAACATATTATATAATCCAGAACGAAATCTGTCTCTCATTACTTTTATTATTATACTTTTTGTAAATTCTATTAAATAATATTTTTATGTTACGTGTGCGCGTGTGTAAATAATCAGTGTTGTAATAATAATTCGCGTGCAACTGTTTTGTTAATGCACTAGTGTAACGTCTAAAGTGACAAAAAATCTCAAGTTTTTTCGTCAATGATTTACATTTGCGATTTAGTACATACATTAACTCTACGTTCAATCTATTTGGTTTGTACAAATACAAATCTAGCTTTTCCAAACGTGTGAGCATACACAAACACACACACACACACACCTATGTGAACCAATATTGTCGAAACTTGTATAGTTATCTGACAATTCAACGCACACATAGACTAGATATTGGATATCAAACTATATATAAT